ATTTCTAGTGCTCTAATTTCTTTTTTTTTATATCTCTAAACTTATATATTAATGTCTCTACGTAACAAATATTTTTCTACAGTTGAGTTCCTCCCCGCCTCAAGAAGAGGACATTTCCCACCATGTCTCAACTCATCCTCGGTTCCATTTTTTAAATAATTAATATATATTTATTATATTTTTTTTATACTTAAATTCTAAAAATAATTAAAAACAATTATAAAAACCGATAATTTTTCTCGAGAACTGAAGGGATGTGAATCCCGGAGCGAAAGCGGACCGTTGTTCGTGACATTTGGGAAACAAAATCAAAACCGTTAAAGATGAAAATACAGAGGAAAAATTATACCTTTGAACTTTTCTTCAATGAATTTCCCTCGAACACCATCACTGAAACTTCCTTGCTATCCTCTTAGGTTTCGAGATCACGCTTGTGGGAGCGTTTCCTTGGAATGAGAGGGAGAGTTTGGAATGAGAGGGAGAGTTTGAGAGAGAAGAATGGGAGTTCTGTGTTTTTTTTGTTCTGTTCCTCTGTGTTTTGTAGAATGCAAAAAAGAAGAATAAAAGCTAGGGAGTTACCCACGTCACTTAACTGCCCACCCCCAGCAATTTTGCAGGGGAGTTAAATATTAATAATAATAATAATATTATATTATTAATAATATTAATATTATTTATATATATAATAATTAATTAATAAATATTAATTAATTATTAATATATATATATATATATCAAATAATTAACCCTTAATTATTTATCTCATAAATAGAATCATATTCTATAGTATTTCTCTCGTATAACCTATAGTTCTAATGTACATCTTATGCACATTATTTTTAACCTATAGATTTAATATGAATCTTATTCATATTAATTTTATTTCAATCTCATTCAAATAATTTCTCTCATAATATATAGTTTTAATTTAGAATTAACTATATATTATAATCCCTTATTAAATTTGAACAGTTCAAATTCTTCCAAAAACTTGATCCTCGTTTTACCCGTTATGAGCTAGCAAGGGGACCTAATGGACCTACAGATCAGAAGCTCCAACGATGCAAGATTAATTGGTCAAACCCATTGATCGAGTTAATCAAGATTCGTTAACTACAGGTCATTCCACTAAAGACCCGTAGTTGCACTCTTCTCACTGCAGAATGTTTTCGTGTCCATGGATATACGACCATTAATGACGAGTCAATC